TGGCATCGCCATCGCCCAGCAAACCTGCCTGCCTCTGTATACACGCAAAGGCTGGGGGAAAGCGTCCAAACACGGCCAAGGCACAGTGCTCTCCTGCAGCCAGCGCTGTGTCTGTCCTGCTCTGTCCTCAGCTTCATTTTTTTTTTAAATGCAAATGAGTAAGGATTTGCATTTCTAAAAATCCTCACTGTGCCTGTTTGTTATTTACTGGTTGTTTTGCAGTAACCTGTAGAAACTTTAGCCATGTGCCAGGGCTGGGAGACAGGCAGCATCCCAGCACGGACGCTCTCCCCAGGGAGCTGTTGCTCCGTGTCCTGCGTCCATGGTGAGGACTTTGCCTCTGGGGCTGCAGAGTCCCTTTGGGATTTGAATGATGCTTCAGCATCTGAGTCACTCACCAACAAACGCTTTCGATCTGAAGCTCTGTGGGCATTAAACCCAGTGGGCTCTTCACACAAACGGCTGTTGCCGTGCAAGGTGCAGCTGCATTCACAAGCAGCATTATTCTGTTTATTTGCATCATCTGCCTGGGGCTGTCCTTGCATGTGCTGGTAGCAGGTGAAATGAGGATTTTGTGGGGTTGGGTTTCTGTCTTGCAGGTGTATCCCATCATCGACTTTCCCCACCCTGCCATCTCCCTGGCCTCGCAGCGAGCCGCGGCAGAGCACAGCGCCGCCGTCACCACATCCTCCCGCGGTGAGGGGGGGCACACAGCAGAGCCGCCTGCGCGTCCCCCTGTGCCGGGGGGCAGCTGATGGGGGTGGGTTAGTGCGCCTGGATAGACACAATCAGATGTTGGGAATAGTAACTGACTTAATGTTTTATTTAGAGGTCATCTGTAGCGAATGAAAAAGAAATTCTAATTATCAAAGGAATATCAAGCGAAATACCAGGGAAATAATTTTTCAGACGTGTATTGAAAGATGTAGGCGACTGCGGTTATTATTGTTCCTTTTACCTTTTCAAAGCCCTGGGAAACATTATTTATGACCCCTATTTTTATCTTAGAAGCTTATTTTGAATAAGTGTTAGGATGCCACTCCATCTGAGTCTCGCTGGAGTGTTGTAATCTCTGCTGCTGCTATTATAAATGTGAATGCAAACGCAAAAATTTAGCTGGAACATAGTGTCCTTTCAGCCACAGGAAAGAGAAGGTTTCACATTAGAAATGTGAGTAAACTGAAAGACCAAAATAAACTTAAAGGGAGATGGTTTGATTTTCTATGGGGAATGTCAAAACCACCTCCTGGGCAAATTCCTGTCTTCCAACTTAATTCCAGCCTATAATTCCCACTTCTCAGCATCACAAGCAGGCTGCTCACTAGATTGCTGCCCACCAGCCAAAGCATCCTCTAGCTGGATGGGAAAGCAGGTGCTGGAAGCCTTCCCCTGCCAAACTTAAAGGGAGATGGTTTGATTTTCTATGGGGAATGTCAAAACCACCTCCTGGGCAAATTCCTGTCTTCCAACTTAATTCCAGCCTATAATTCCCACTTCTCAGCATCACAAGCAGGCTGCTCACTAGATTGCTGCCCACCAGCCAAAGCATCCTCTAGCTGGATGGGAAAGCAGGTGCTGGAAGCCTTCCCCTGCCAAATCCCAGCCCCGGGTGGTGTTCCTGCCGGTCGGGGCTGCCTGCTGCTGGCGCTTCCCCACCATTGAGTGTTTCATCCCCTGCGCTTGTCCCTGGCTGAAGCTCCTCCACTGCGTAACCAGCAGCTTTGGAAAAGGCTGGGGCGGGGAATCTCTTCTTCTTTGCTTGGCTGATGCTGTTCTGGCTTCCTGCACCGCTGGCCGTGTGTGGGAGGGGAACACCGGGACCAGAGGTACCCGCGGGGCTGGAGCTGGCATGTGTCACTGGGCTGGGCTGGGCTGGGCTGGCTGGTCACCGGTGACAAAGGCACCAAAGCTCGGGCTGGCTGGTGCTGGGGAAAGGCAGGAACTGCTGAACTCCTTCTGTAAAGAAAGGGAAGGAGCAAAGCGGGGCCCTCCACGAGGAGATCACGAGATCACACAGGACGGGGGATGTGCTGACAGCGAGGGCTGGAACCAGGGGCTTACAGGATCTGAGGACTTAGCTATTTTTATAGCTATTTAAGCTATAAACGCAGGTAAAATGCTCTAGCATGCAAGGGCCAGAACATGCTGTCTGCAGCTGGGGAGGTTTTGACAGGTGCAGTGATGGGCTGGTGGGTCTCCAGCCAATTTTCTTTCTCCCTTCATGCAGCAGCAGCAGCTCTCAGACCTGTGAGGTGTGTGGCTAAAAGCTGGGTTTCTTCCTCTCTGCACGTGTTGGTGTAAAGCAAGATACAGCATTTGCTCCAAGCAGCTTATTTAACCCGAGCTTTTCCTGTCCTTCCCCCAGCGCCAAAGCATCGAGCGGATCCCCATCACCGAGGTGCAGTCCCAGCACGCGGGGAAGCCCTGCCTCTACTACATCTACGGGCTGGAGAACAAGGTGTATGCGCGGGACTACCCCGGGAGGTGCTGCTGCGGCTGCGCCCTCCTCTGAGAGCTGGCAGAAATCACGACGACGGCAGCGACCGCCCAGCAAACCCCCTGCACGGACCAGGGGTGCTCCGGGACCTTCCCACCAACCGTCTGCGCCGGGGTCTGTGACCGAGGACTGCAAACGGAATGGAGAAGGGGAAGAGAACCGTGGCCCCCTCCCTCCAAACCACTTGTATGGCAGAGCTGCCCAGTGCAGGATCGGGCCTTTGGGGACAGATTCCCCCTGTGAATGGTTTCACAGATGTTTTCCCTTCTTCTTGCAATGCTCCATCACTGGAGCGGTGCCTATTGAGAGACATTCTCAGCCCAGCCATGCAGTCCATGACTGGTGCCTCTCTCTCCCTGTTTTGTTGTCAGTTTTCCCGAGTTACTACACAATCTATAATCTGTATTTTAAAATCTATCTAATTAGCAGATCTAGCGTTAAAGGATTTCATTTTAAAACATGCAGAAAGACCATCGGAGGGATGGTTGTTCTAATCTGGAAATCACCCAGAACAAAAGCTCTTGGGGTGCGTGCTGCCTGCGCTGCCCTGGGCTGCAGGGATGGGGACAGCAGGAGGTTGGGGATGGCTGGGGGGGGTCACCCCCACATCCCTGGGCTTGGGGAGATGAGTTCTGCCCCTGGGGACAGCACCTGTCCTGGGCATCACCGGGCAAGGGGCCCGGGCTGCAGTGCCTGCGGGAGGCAGCTCTGCCCTGTCCCCCTCTTTTTGCAAGGTTTATTGCTGAAAAGCTCGAGGAGACCCTCGGCTCGCTTTGGGTTTGAGGCTGGTTGAATTTCCATGCAAACACCCGTGGTCGCAGCGTGGAGCGGGAGGGGGCGAAGCAAACAGACTGCAAAAAGTTCAGAAATGTGCAAGCCAACAGAAAGACACCAGCCCTCGAAAACAAACCAGACAGCCCTCCTCTCCTCCCCCGGAGGTTTTACACAGTCCTTGTGCTGCTGGGGCCTGATGAGGGGTTTGCAGGGGTGTGACTGGCAGCCCCCCCAGAGGGGACAGGCTGGCTGGCTGCCCCGTGCTCCTCCCGGCAGCTCTGGTGCCTGGCAGGGGCTGACCTGGGGCTGCTGGAGGGCACCTCGGAGGTTTGAGAGGACCACACCACAGCATCCCGGCAGAGAGGAGAGAAAGGAGGGTGTTCTGCATCTGAGCCACCAACAGAGAGGGACCAGACAGTTTAGATGAGCTTTAGAA